TTCTATCAGTATCTCTGAACATCTTCTTTGCTATTTTCTCTTGGGTGGTGTAAGTTTGATGTTTTTGCAGTTTGACTTGGGTTGATGATAGCAAGATTATAGTTGTAAAAATAAAGCATTAAATCTACTTTTCAATCTGCTTCCTATCCTTGGACCTTTGTAATACATGTAACGAATTTCGACTTTCAGACCGTCTCTACGACCACAAAATTGAAAGTTTCGTGATTTATGTGACTTACTAACACCTAAGTCTTGTTAAACTTGAACAAGGCCTTAGTGGATTAATGTTAAGTATCTAATGGAATAATGGATTATGGAATATTCTAATATTAGTGATTGTGGGAATCGGTGCATTATTGCTTGATTCGATCATACATTTATTTCAACATGAAGTTATGGACAGATACCCTCCAAAATAAGCTGACTCGCGGGCAACTTTACTATGTTCTACCAGCACGATTATAATACGCAGCCAACAATCAGGATCTGAAGCAGATTGTGCAGTTTAATAAAAACTGATCTGGGTATAACGAGCGGCTTTTCTTAGTATGCCATCGCATATATCACAAGATCCAGCCGAAACCGCTATTTAACCGCTATTTAGCCGCTATTTAACCGCTATTTAACCGCTATTTAACCGTTATTTAACCGCTATTTAACTGACAGTGACAGTATTGCCTGAAAACTTGCTAAGCTGCTAAGAAGATAAAACAACTATAAGTGAAGAAGATCGCGGCACTAAACTGTATATTGGTACTCGATATGAAGTTTGAAAAATACAAATGACAAAACTGGCGAAACTTGAATCTTCTTATCTCGTGTAATTCATGCGTTACAATACACAGCTTCATTAAGATAAGGCCAACAACTAACAGGAACATTGCCTCCATAGAGAAATCACGAACACACGACCCACCTCAAATGGATAACGGCATATTAATATTACCTCTCGACTATATACCGCGGTCGTTGGTAATGGTCAGCCTCAGGGTAAGCGGCCGTTACATACAAATAAATTATGTGGTGTTTGGTGCAGTACGTTAGTCACGTGCATGGTGTTGTGAATACCCTCACTATTAAGAATTGAGATTTTTAAATGATCCATTGAGGCTTGGCGACCTTGAGGCAAAACATATAATGAAAAGAAGAAAACAACTTTATTTTGCACTCTGTAAGTGCAGTAGTAATATTGGAACTCAAAGTGGAAGGAAAATCGTATTATCCCCGAACATCCACTCAGCTGGAGTGCATGTGGATTGTGGAGGGTTGGGTACCGGTATTTACAACTTAGGTTCATTAAATTCACCTTTGATCCTCAAGATAGAGATTTGGCGGAATGACTTGGAGGACTTCGCCACTTCGACGCGAACTAGCATTCTTGACATCTGACATCGTCGTCAACCAACGGAATGACAGCAGACAGGCTGAGCGCCGCCGAGTAACCTAAACCAGTAACGAGTGTAATTGTAAAGTGATTTAGCACGCTCGACGGATGAACAAACTTTTACGGTAATTTATTTGACAAATATTTAGTTCAAATCATGCACTACTTCATCATTCACATTGTATTTGATAATGATACACGTAACGGTAAACGTTGCGCGTGTTTAAAAATAAGTGAATAATAACAAGATTAGAAATGTTTCACAGGGTACATACTGCAGACTCAATCTGATACTTGTTCAGGAAAATCTGGCAATCATGCAAAAGCTTTCACGGCGGCATTCCCAGGACTTCGAATTAAAATTTATTAACTTAATTATATTTATAGTGAAAGGTTTTTGTTGTGACCATCTTACCTGGGGACCTTGTAGCGCGATGCACTACTGGGCCGCGCCGCGCATCTTCTCACAACCATCTCGTATGTTGTATCACGTTGCGACCCCCACGGGCGTTTCACTATGGTGACCCATATCGTCCTGACGATACATGCGGGTCATACAACGTATGACAAGACCATTGGTGGGTCATACAACGTATGACAAGACCATTGTAAAAGTCACGGGAAGAGCAAGGCTTGCAACTTTAAGGAGTTAAGTCTATGAGGATCACAAATTTCAAAATTTGCACTTTAACACTAAAGATTCGTCTTTTAAGGATGTATTTGAGGGTGTGTTGTTACTTTAAATTTAACGCTAGACAGTACTCGCTAAATCAGTGATGAATGATGACTTTATAATATTAATACCGTTAAAAACTACAAACTGGTCTGTTTCTTCGACATAAGGCGAGGTGACTAAATCTAAACTACAGATCAGAGGAGATTGAAGATTTCACAATTCTATCCAAAAACTATCTAACGAGAGCGATAGGGGCCGTCTACTTAGGATGTCCGGCAAAGAGGAAGGGATGGTTTTGAAATTTCGGACACACCCGGACAGGGGGAGGTGGGTGGTCTGAAAATCTGCGATTTTGTTGGACGTCCAACAAAATCGCAGATTTTCAATAGGACTCCTATATAAGTAGATGGCCCCATACAGAAATGTTCGGATTATGAATGACATTAAATATTTAGATTATGAATATGTGCATATTACCTGAGACTTAATTAATTAAGCTCTTTAAGTTTATGTAAATGTCAATAAATTGTAAGATTTGCTGAGGAAGTGCGAATCTAACAACAACATTGGAAACGACCAGTTAGTGTGACAAAATCAATAGCAAGGAGATTTAATTTTTTGCGATTTTTAATAATTCCACCAAAAACATGTCGATGATTAAGTCGATAAGCTACATAACCCACTATAAGTATACATGATGTGGTAATTTTTTGAATATTTCCAAGAAAGAAATTTAATATCCAGATTATGTGCATGTCACCTACAAGTACAACCTAACACACAAAAGTGAACTAAGCAGTAAAAGGATATCCCTTTTAAAATCAGGATCCCTCAGAGCTCATACTATTTGGCAACTTAGCGCGACCCTTTGTCTTTGATTCGATTTGTCACATCACACATACTGATACAGGAAATACAAACATCGTTTATAATTTGGAGAGGATGTTTGAAATTCTGAACTACAACTACCAAGTTGCTAAAACACGCATGCAGTGTGGCTAGACCCCGTAATATTTGCTAGACCAGTGTCAATACTGCAGAATGTTTATGTAGCAGAACGGGTCACAATAAAATCAACGAAAAAATAATGGGAGAATTATAATTGTCGGAGTAAAGAAGAATTGGCCACAGACTACCCCTGAATCTGATCAACGCTGGTGTTCATTCTCCAATAATTGATTAGATCTCAGTCCAGTATATCCGGATACCATATATCCTTTACTCCGACAAACATCGTACTAACTATTCAGAAAACTGAAAATCACATACGAGAAGTGGTGATATAGCTATAAGATCTCCGATCTAATAGTAATAGCAAATATGGCATCACGCCATGAAGTATAACGTTGCAACAAATGTTGATGGTTCATGGTAGTGCTGTATACATGGCTACCGAACACTTACTTACTTGTAATTGAAAAGGTCTCCTCCTAGTCGTTGGAGTGGCCTGCACCACATAGTAACTCCTTTCTCCGGTGTATTAGACCTCTCCAGTGAACCCTGTCTGTTGCTTGTTGTTCTGCATCTTCTATCGTGATGTAGATCCTGATTTTAGTTGGAGTCTTGATGTTGCGACTGTACCATATACTGCTAAGCTGATAGAATGCCCCAGAGGCCTTTTGAATTCGAGCTGATAGTTCTTTGTCAATTGTTCCATTCGCACTGATGACTGCACCCAAGTAAGTGAAACTGCTGACCTGCTGTATTGGGAGACCTTCCACATCAATGTCCATAGTGTCGTCTTTAGAATACGGCCTCTGCGATGCACTTTTACTGACAGTCATGCTCGTGTTTTGCCAGCATTAATCTTCAGACCCGCATAGGCACTGTATTTGCAGAGAAGGTCAGTGGTTTTCCTGCTACCGAACAACTGAACCCAATTTAGACAATTTAGACTAACCCTAACCCTAACCCTAACCCTAACCCTAACCCTAACCCTCCATTTTCAAGGAACATGGAGTGTGACTTTGTGTACAGTTCTTACAATTCCATTTTAAAAACACTACTGGTAAGGTGAAAAGATACGCGTTTATTTACCATTTAAATTCAAATAATAACACAAAATACACTGTAAATTCATCAAATATTAACAAGTTGAGACTGATTCAAGTTATGACTTGTAAAGATTCTACAACTCCTGGAACAAAAAAACAAAATATGAACTATTCAAATTCCTTCATAAACAGATTACTTCAGATCAGATCCAGTTCTCACAGTTAACATTCTTTCAGAGTCTGCCCTGTCTGTTAACCACGGTACAACCGATAAATGACCTGTTTTAATTCCTTCGTAAATTCTTTAGTAAATTCCTTCATATTAAGGCTAAAAGATCGAATTACTATTAGCTGTAAATGGCTAGGTATGTACTAGATTTTGTAACTATTAAAGTCGCGTTAAACTTAACTCACATGTTCTGACTTGCTACCATGCTCCAAAAGGCAAAAACTGGAAAATATAACATTTACACCACTTTTCCATGCCCAATGAATGAGGATGGCACGAGGATACGATTTCCATAAATTCGTCGAATATTGCCTCCAAATCCTCGCGAGGGTAAATCATCATCGTGCACAATTTCCCACAAGGATGATTTCCTCGCGATGAAATTATTGGACATTTCCATCCTCGCGAGGGTATCGCGAGGGTTTTCTCCTCGCGCGCAGCGTATCAAAATGGGCAAATTTGTACTTTTGTCAAAAATGTAGGCAGTTTCTGGTGTCATCGCGAGGATCCCACGAGGATCGCACGAGGATCACCGCGAGGATACCTATACGAAATTTCGACGAAATTATGGAAATCATATCCTCGTGTGCATCCTCGTTCATCGTTCATTGGGCATGGAACAGGGGTGTTATCAGACGAATTGAATCAACCGAGTGCCAGGCCTATTTTAAAATTAGCTCAGATAATTCAAGGATAAAATAATAAGAAACATTGAATGAATCTACGAGAAATTCTAATTTGCAATTTTCAGTGGTCATTTGTATCAGCGGACGTTCTTATTTTAGTTGAAAAAGTTAAACAATTCCAAAAAAGTTAATCAATTCCAGCTTTAACGAAACTCTGGGTAGAGTGAACCATCCTTACATTTCACGAGATTTGATTTGTCGCCATTATGTCCCATAAAATCGTCTTACTAAAACCAACGTGCTTCTCACATCGAAATTGTTCTCATTTTTAACTTCTTCACCAACTAACACAAACAAATTGAGGACAGTTTCGAGGGGTAAACTTTGACTGAAATGTTCTATCATTATGCTCCATAAATTCATTAGACATGATGAACCCAACTGAAAGTAACGGACTGTTTCATGGGTATCTGCTCGACGGGAAGCCTCTATTTTTGTGATGCGGATGCGGTAATGGTGGCATGTGGGGTAGTAGTGGCATGTGCGGTAGAGGCGGCATCCCCGCCATTGGTGGTTGTACTGGCGGCGGCGGCAACATCCCTGAAATAAAGGTGGTATTAACATGTGCTCAATTTCTCAAGATTTATCTTTATCATTTATAAAATGTAAATTCTAGTATTTCGACAAATTAGAATTATGACAATTTCGTTCTCCACAATTGATAGGATTGTAAAATATTCAAATAATGAACAAGCTAGGATTCTGCAACCCAACTCACCTAAACCTGGAGAATGAGGAGGATAAGGAGGGTAAGGATTACACATGGGGCTCCTTATAGCAGGAGACTTGTGAGGGTGTATAGGAGAGGAGTACTGAGAGGAGCCAGGGTACTGAGCACCAGGGTGGGTGGGAGAGAGGAAGGAGAGGGGAGGATGGAAGGAGGAGTAGGGGACTGAGGGGGCTACTACCGCGGGGGAGGTGCCCGGACTGCAGGGAGCGTAACTCTGTGGGGTGTTATTGTTAGTGGGGGACTGAGGGGCTACTACCGCGGGGGAGGTGCCCGGACTGCAGGGAGCGTAACTCTGTGGGGTGTTATTGTTAGTGGGGGACTGAGGGGGCTACTACCGCGGGGGAGGTGCCCGGACTGCAGGGAGCGTAACTCTGTGGGGTGTTATTGTTAGTGGGGGCTACTACCGCGGGGGAGGTGCCCGGACTGCAGGGAGCGTAACTCTGTGGGGTGTTATTGTTAGTGGGGGTGTTAATTTGTTATGAATAATGGAGGTTTGGTAATAGTTTCTGGTCCTTGTTAGATTGTTGAATTTTCATAGTTCGACTAATGACTACTTTTGATTAATACATGACAGCCATTTGTACTTATGCAAATCAATGTATGGTACTTGTTGTTAGCTTTACAATTACAGCGGTAATGTTTACACAAATTGGATCCCACCCCAGGTAACAGCTTAGCATCGATTACGAAGTCTCCTGGACCAGGCAGTGTCTCAAAGCGGGACACTATTACACAGGGAGCTGGATACAGATTTCTATCGAAGTCTATCATTGTGGAATTCTAACCTAACTCTCGCTTGAGCCAAATTCAACCGTTATAGCTGTTTCGGACGACTTGTTTAGTGACTAAGGCGGCGGACACAAAGGACAATTAGTCTGAAATGGACAGTGATTGGATGCGGTCCAAGTTTCTTAAAGATTTCGTCCACTAATGTTATAATAACAGATGTAGGCAGCAGATCTGAGGAGAATTATCTCACAGATTGGTATGTAGTCTTCTGTTTGAACTTTGAGTGGTTTAGCAGCACTTTTGAGAATATAAGCTAAACTACCGCTTCTTACTACACTATTAATGGGTACTTTTAGGAGCTTACTCTATATTTTAATAGAAGGAAGAAAGCTATTTGAAACCTGTTCTATGCTGTTCCCAGTGTAACCAGTGTAACGGATTGTACACTTAACCTCATTGAAATAACAATAACGAATATTTGTTCATGATGTAGTGTATAATAGTAGGTTTAATCCCCCCTTGTTTGCACTACAGCTGGCCACCTTCAATTTATCAGTTTCTCTTTGTTAGTCCTTTGTACTGGTCTACACCTCAAACCTTGTAAAACTTTATTTTTACTAAACTATTTACATTATCAAAGTCATTCGAGACTATTTGAGTATTTGATACACTGCATACCAGCATACCAGGATTAGCGCTGAGTGTGTAGATTTAAGATTGGACACTATGCGTGGTGCCTAAAGGCTATGTAGCTTTCATTACAGCGGCTGATGGATTGGTAATATAATAATAATAGTAGGAATTAGTATTTCACTTCCTTGATGCAGAATGTGATGGTGGTATGTTATGACCTACACTCTAGCTAAGAGTGGCAGTGTTTTAATATTGTTTGTCATTCGTTACATCATCATGATTTTAATCTTTTTGATTCTTTCTGTATAGGACATAACATAATAATATCTTTTATTATATGATATTAATAATATTATACTAATAATTAACGTGCATTAAATGAGGTACTTATTTGCAAAGTCACATGACTCGTTATTAAATCCTTTGCCTGATGTGAAAAGTTGTTATAAAACCTTATTCTAACCATTCCTTCATTCGAACAACTCATCTTATTTTCGATCTTGCCGACAGTTGTAACGTTTTATCATAGTGATAGACAGTTAACATAACTTATAGTGAATCAGTATTAATATAACTTATAGTTAATCGCCTAAAAGACGCTGAACAAAAAATTAAAGTAAACTTATTCAAGATCTTAACTATTTACCATAATCATGTGTTGAGCCAATCAAATACTAAGCCTGATAAATTATTAGTAATAAATTTGAATATTTATTAGTAATAAAGTTGAATATTATCTTTTGTTCTCTTGACGCTTGGCCCATCTACGTCCTGTTCTGTCATTTAGAGTGCCACCACACGCTATGCAATGGAGTATTAAAACTAAAAGTAGGCCACGTAGATTGTTTAAAGCCCGCATAGTTTAGTGTTAAAACTATAATATTATCAAAAATATAAGTTATAAATGCAATATTTCTAATCAGCAACGTAGTTACCAGAATGGAGCTCAGCTCATAACCTTGGTGTTGTGAATGTAATATATGTAATAATATTATTCATAATATCATAATAACACTGTATAATTAATTGTTGATCAGTAACTTTACTAAAGTATGACTCAGCCTTTTAGGCTCGTTTCAGCGTTGTCTTAATCTCAGCTTTCTATTCTACCATTTTGTTTTGCTTTTCTCTAACTTAATAGTATTAATTATAAAGCTAAATAATTGAATCATGTTTGTTTGGGCCCGGACGGTGCCGGTGGTTCTAATGACCATTTACTAAAATACATAAATACAAAATACAATATAGTATAAATATTATAATCAGAAGTTTTATAAATCCTATCCGTCCAAGTTAAACTTGAAGGGCGCTACACGCACGACGAAAACTCCCTTTAATGTGAGCTGAAGTAGACTACTAGTAGTAGAGCTAGTAGCGCTTGAAATTGACAGAACTGAAAACGAAATCTGACAATTGTCGCGAAAACTGACAGTTTTGTGTGCTCGAAGTGTCGAGAAATACTGACAGTGCAAGACTGGGCACATAAGAGTGAGTTAAAACATCCTCCACACAACAAAAACTTGAATACACTAATAATAATCAATTATTAAAAACACACAAGCTCATTCTGCAGTCTTATTAGTCTTATCAGTACTCTTTATAGCACCGTTTCTGATAAAGTGTAGCTTATCAGGCTGCTCAGTTACCAGTCTTTTCATGTCACTGACGAGTTCTCTTTGCTTGGCTCTCTGTTCTGGAGATCGATCTGGGCTGATAAAAACAGTTTTAAACTTTTCCGTTGCTCGCAGGTTTCTCGATTTAGCGAGAATCTGATTAACAATTGTTGCACTTGCCGCAGTCACTTTAACTGGTCTCACAGCCTTGCCAGGTTTGAGCTTTCCGACTCTACTAGCTTCGATTCTGGGTTTCTCTCCGATTGCTGAGAACACTTCACTGACCACGGTGCTGAGCTCCTCATTGTCCTGCTCCGATAAACCAAAAATCATCAGATTTTTGTTTCGGTCTTCCTCCTGTACCACAGTTTTCACAGCTTTCTTGATCATTTCAGAACTGACAGGCTTCTGAGATTCTGGACAATTCGCCTGTAATACCGAGCTGAAGGATTGGAATTCAGCCTTGACAGACTCTCCGACTGACGATTTAACTGACGTCTGCAACGATTCCAACTGTTCATTTTTGCAGGCTAGTAGTTCTGACTGCAACTTAATGATGGTCTCCTGTGTCTCGAACATATGATGTTTAACTGAATTTGAGGCCATCTTGTAGTCCGTGGATACGACACCAGTGAACTCCTCCAAATATATTAATGCATCGTACAACAAGTCACACGCAGTGTCCTTGTTCATCTTCTTCACGCGCGAAGGGGATAGTTGCCCAATTGCTGTGATCTCCATCTCGTTCATAGCCTTGTTGAGAAGTTCAACTGAGTCACCCCTTAACATGTTGATCTCCTTTTCACCATACTCGCTGGGCGGGATGGTCATGGTCGTGTAACACGGTGATACACAAACCACTGTAGCTGCACGTTACAATCAACAGAGATAAGCACTAAGATAAGAGAGTAAGAAAAGAGCAACGTATGCATTTAGTGTAATACTGAACTGATCATAAATAGATAAAGTTTACAGTCCACTTCAGTTCAAGGGTGCCATTGGAAGATTCAAGATCATTTGGCAGGGGACTGTTGTAGCGTGAGCGTAGAAATAAAACAAGTTGTTAACACGTAATCATAGAGGCTAGGGAAGAACAAATCGTTAATAACAAATTATGATAGCAATCAATGTTCAATATATATAACAATCTCCCTTCGGCAAGTTATAGCTAGTCGGCCGATACAACTAGCTGCGCTCGCGTTTAACACGAGGAGCTAGGCGCGCGCGCAAAATTGAGGTCAGGAGGACTGTCACTTTTTAGCGCTGACTAGCTTAACGTCGCCGCGCGTTCCATACATGTGGAACAACTTTTGTGACCAAACTGGTCTTTAACTTTAACTGTCAGAAAACAGACATAAAAAATACTTTCTCCCCACAGGTCGGGACAAAATTAGCAACATTTTGCTTCTTAAACGTTAAAAACTTGTAACTCATATTTCCATAAAATTGGATTAGCCACGTTCTCTGTCGAATTATTAAAATACATAAGTTAAATCAGGAAATCTGTAAAATTTAAAATAATGAGTGACTCTAAAAATGTGATAAAAACAGCGGTTTGACAAATATTACAACATACGGGTTTACAATGATTTCAGTTCGTGATTACTCATTCTAACTCATGGTTTTCATTTTAGTGATAGCATCACTCTTAGCACTTCTGGTTGGTCTCAAACGCAGTTCAGGTAAGGGTGCACCACCTGTAGCTGTAGGTTTGGACAACTCAGACACCCGGACTTGCTTGTCGTTGGTTTTCAGGGGGGAAGCAACTTTCGGTTGAGGACGCTCAGTCACTTTAGACGGTGAGGTATCCCTGACTGGGGACGCTGGTTTCGCCACAGCCTCAAGTCTGTTGCCGTTCGGAACTCCTAGGTTTAGTGCATTCATTCTCCGTCTTTCCCTTGTTTCATGCAGCTTCTGGAACTTAATGTCAGAGCGAGCTATCTCTCTGGTTAATAGCGTTTTTTGCGGACTAGTGATTGCTTTTCGTTCCATCCTTATAACGTGGCCCCTATCGTGGTTTTATTGCGTCAGCGTGTTTCTTTACAATCCTGTCTCCGTGTTGGACCACGTAATTGTTCGAATTATCACCGAGTCTTTTGATTACTCTAGCTTGCTCCCAGTGGCTTTTGTCGTCCATTTTGGCGAAAATGAGCTGATTTTCCCGGAACTCTCGAGTTCTGGGGTATTCGTTAATTGCAACTTGCAGTTTCTCAGATTGCAATTCCTGCTCCCTCATCCGATCGGTTGGTTTGATTTGGTGTAGTTTAGATCGCAGAGTTCTGTTGAACGCTAACACAGCTGGTGTTTGACCAGTAGACGAATGGGGTGTGTTGCGGTAAGTTAGCAGAAAATCGTTCAGATTCTTGCACACGTCCTTACTGGTTACAGACATCTTTTTCAGGGCGGATTTAAACGACTGAACAAGTCGTTCGCAGATTCCGTTTGATTTGGGAGAATACGTCGGAACAGTCACGTGCTTTATACCACAGGATTTCAGATATCCCTCAGTTTCATCCGACACGAACTGTGGTCCGTTATCCGTTACCAGACAGATTGGGATACCTGTACGAGAGAATATGGATCTAAAAGCACGTATTGTAGCACTAGATGTTGTATTTGTGTTCATTTGAACAACTTCAGGCCACTTGCTGTAAGAGTCTACTAATAATAGCCACATGCTGCCCAGGAATGGGCCCGCAAAGTCAGCGTGTACTCTTTGGAAAGGTGCACTGGTTTTAGCCCAGGGGTGGTCAACGACTTTAGTCATGTTCTTACCATACTTGGCGCATGTCTCACACGTCCGAGCAGTATCCTCGATTTGTGTGTCAAGACGTGGCCAGTAAACGTAAGATCTGGCCAAGGATTTCATACCTGTTACTCCAATGTGAGTGGCGTGCAGAATATCCATTACAGTGCTTCTCAGTTTAGCGGGAATCACGACACGGGCTCCCCAAGTTAAACACCCAAGTTCATGGCTCAACTCGTCTCTTCTAGTCCAGAAAGCTTTGAGATCACCGTCACATTTCAGATTCTTCGGCCAACCATTCAGAGTGTATTCCAAAACTCTGCTCAGAATCGGGTCCTTACGAGTGTCGTTCGCCACTAACTCAGCATTGAGTAAAGTCTCGCTCATAGTCAGTGCGAACATATCACCAAACTCGTCTCTCTCCCTCACAGGGTGTGTTACCGATTTTGGCAGCCTGGATAACATATCAGCGTTAGCATGATCCTTGGTATTACGATATTGAATGTCATACTGGTAATTCATAAGGAATAAAGCCCACCTAGTTAACCTACCGGCAGTCATCTCTGGAATTGGCTTATCGCCAAATATACGAACCAGCGCACGATGATCTGTCACCAAGGTAAACTGTCTCATATACAAGTAAATATGTAGGCGCTTTATGGCCCACACTATGGCCAGGGCCTCTTTGTCCACTTGAGCGTAATTCCTCTCGGCCGGTGACAGGGTCCGGGAGATGAACTCAATGGGGCGCTCATCCCCATTCAGCATAATGTGAGACAACACTGCGCCAATGCCACCGATTGAAGCATCAGTGTCCAGTTTAAGAGGAAGCTTGGGATTGTAAAAGGTCAATACACGGTTAGAAGCCAGCAGATTTTTCAATATTTTAAACGCTGTCTTTTCGGTATTTGTCCACACCCACTTTACATTCTTAGCTCTCAGCCTTTCAATTGGAGCAATCACAGACGACAAGTTGGGCAAATAGCGCCTGTAATAATTCACAGCCCCCAAAAAACTAATTAGTTCGTCCACATTCCTAGGTTCTGGAGCCATCAGCATACTCTCGACCTTGCTTTTCACGGGTTTGATCCCTTCAGCAGACACCACATGACCCAGATAGACAACTTCTTTTTGCATGAAAGAAGTTTTTTCGGTTTTACATTTAAAACCTCGCTGCTCCAACCTACTTATGACATTATTGAGGTTGATCAGATGGTCACTCTCATTTCGACCAGAAACTAATATATCGTCAATTCTGCAGCACGTCATAGGCACACCCCACAGAGTGTCATCCATACATGACTGGAATATAGCCGATGCACTGCTGATGCCATACGGCAAGCGATTCCATTGATACAACCCTTTGTGCGTATTCAGGGTGGTCAAGACACGGTCCTCATTTCTTATCAACAGGTTATTATAAGCCTTTTTGATGTCAATCTTAGAGAACGTTTGTCCCCCCTGCACAGCATTCAGACATTCCTCCACGGTAGGTAGAGGGTATTGTCGGGTGCTGATACATTTGTTCAGGGTCGATTTATAATCCCCACAAATGCGCACTGACTGCCCTCCATCCTTCTTCACAGGCACTATGGGTGTCCCCCATGGACTGTCTTCGACTTTGGTTAGAATCTTCGCTTCAACCATATCATTTAACTCACTTTCAACCTTGTTTCTCAAGGCATAGGGTAGACTACGGGCCTTCATCATAATAGGTTTGGAGTTGTCCTTCAGGACCAAACTTGCCTGTACACCCTTAACTAGTCCTAAACCCGATTTAAACACCTCGCTCTGTTTTAACTGAGCGATACTACGACATTGATCAACCCGAGTACAGGTGTTTTCACATTTCCACCTGTTTTTCACGGTCGCACCATCGGTTAGCATGTCACCCTTATCGACACCACTCCCAGAGCAGCTTTCACAGCTCACTGACACCTGCTGGGATTTGTCTGGGGCTAAATTATGTACTAACTTTGTGCTGAGCAGCTTCTCTAGCCAATTCTGTCCACAGAACTTTACAATCCACGGTCTTCCAAACAAACTGGGGAAGTCCTCTGCTACATAGAGCTGCATTCCATGAGCTTTTTCACCGTTCAACTCTACATTAACTACAGCACAGCCGTCAACTGTTTTGATTTGTCCGTTTGCAACCCGTAATGTTTGCCTGCTGGGTGTAAGTGTTAAATTGGCCAAGCCACAAGATAATAATGTACGTTTGCTCACAACAGACACTGCAGACCCTGAATCGAACTCCATAGACAGAAGTTTACCGTTGATTTCTACTTCTACATACGGTTTGCTTAACTCAATCATATTGACATTCGGTAACACATTATCAGAAACTAAACTTGAATCAGACTTATCAGTGGTAATAGTGGAATCGGGGTCACAAACAAGATAACTAAAATCAAAGGCATTAAACACCTTATCCCTCACATACATATTTGAAGATTTCGAATCAGTTAAATGAGTAAGTTTAGAGAAATCAGCACACAGATAAGAACATGTATTAGCATTACCTTTTTCAATCTCAACTGAATTACACTCATTGTCATGATCATACTCGGGGTAAAGCTCATTGTCCAAGACATTTTCACAATTCTCATCCATACCGAACTCATAACTCTCCGAACTCGACTCTCCTTGTTCAATGTTGTGAACAATGCTGTTTTGCTTGCAATTCTTGGAGATGTGTCCAATACGTTTGCAGATATGACACCGGACTTGACAATTTTCACCAATATGTCCACGAAGTCCGCACCGTCTACATTTAAGTCCCTTTTGCATTCCACTTTTCTGCTTTCCACCCGAACCACCTGAACTTTCCCCCTTCTTCCCATAGAGGTTTTTCATTGTTCTTTTGAATGTTGGTTTCACAAAGTTCACTGATCTCGATGACTCTCCCGGTGATAACGTGCTATTCATGAACTGAGCCTCCCTGTTTGCCTGCTCACGGCTTAACGCTTCCTTCACCGCGGTTGCCAGTGTTAAGTCATCCTTCGTTAACAACTCGGAAACAACCTTTTGATTCCTCAGCCCCGCGAGCAGCTGATCCAATATAGCCTCGTTGTAGTTGGCAAACTCACATTCATTTGCGATTGTTCTTAATCTTGACACATAGGTCGCTGTGGTTTCTTCACCCTCTTGTACACAACTTCTTAGTTTATATCTTTGAGCAAACTTTGTTGGTGCAGGGGCCAAGTGATCTATTATAGATCACGGTTAGCCTCACGGTTAGAACCGTCATTAGCTAACTCTGGGACCTCTGCTGCCAGTCCTCCCGCCAATAACTCAAACTCATATCTTTCAAACCAGCTTTTTTGACAGCATGTGACGGTTAGAGGCTCTTTTGTCCTCGTCGCCATTTGTTGTAGCGTGATCGTAGAAATAAAACAAGTTGTTAACACGTAATCATAGAGGCTAGGGAAGAACAAATCGTTAATAACAAATTATGATAGCAATCAATGTTCAATATATATAACAGGGACCTCTTTATTTAACCATATATTAAGTTCTCCGAGCATTCGGCTTGTATTGGTCGACCTTGCAGACCTTGCAGACCAAAGTCTTTAAAATAGACGGCGCATGTGTTCGGTAGATCAATATTGAGGTACAAGCTCGTCTTTGTTTCGCCTTTAACCATTCCATTCTCGATATTGATATTTTATAGAGTATAAAACGATAGGTTAGACCTTTCAGGTATCCCAAATTTTGTTTTAAATCCTGTTAACACTAGTATTCCCTAGTATTTTAACTTTTGTCAGTTTTAATCCTGTTTCTCAGGAAATTTTGTAACATTTTGGCTCTTAACATTGAAATTATTGTTTGTTCCTAGTATAGGTGTTAAGCAAAGTTTTGCATAGATCTTATCTAGTGTCATATAATACACAATACTGAACCGATATAATCCATTACTCAGTATACTATACTAATTACAACACTACAAATCTATTACATTTATTGAGAATTATGTATCGTGATGGAAATATTTTAAACGGGTCATATCCTGTCCAAACCCAGGATGCATAACACGAAGAATTTGTTGTAACTTTGTATGGAAAGCATTAATACAATCATTCATTAATTAAACAATAGTTTCATTTTTAGAAATCGGAGAAGCTTAAAAAAGAACGAATGACAGACAATGTAATCATTTTGATCTTGATAACGGTAAGCCGTAAGGTGATTTGAGACCTAAAAGTTTTACTGACAACAAACAAAAATTAAAAAGATGTTTAAATACCTAACAAATTATCGATTAACTGATTTCTCATAGAAAATTTCGTGATATCATTATATTAGGACTGGTTCACATCAGTTATTACTATCACGTGATATCATATTGTTGATTCTCGTTTAATATTCAGGTAATTGTAGCTGTTGAAGTTACTGGACAAGAACAGGATGAGGCAGCTAATGGGGATGTAGTAGTTGACAACGATGAGATTGCAGAGTTTGAAAATTCTGACAATGGCGACTCCCAGAATGGAAATACCGAGAGTGAAACTTCTGAAAATGGTGACTCCCAGAATGGAAATACCGAGAGTGAAACTTCTGACAATGGCGACCCCCAGAATGGAAATACCGAGAGTGAAACTTCTGAAAATGGCGACTCCCAGAATGGAAATACCGAGAGTGAGACTTCTGACAATGGTGACTCCCAGAATGAAAATACCGAGAGTGAAATTTCTGAAAATGGTGACTCCCAGAATGGAAATACCGAGAGTGAAACTTCTGACAATGGTGACTCCCAGAATGAAAATTCCGAGAGTGAAACTTCTGAAAATGGTGAATCCCAGAATGAAAATTCCGAGAGTGAAACTTCTGACAATGGTGACTCCCAGAATGAAAATTCCGAGAGTGAAACTTCTGACAATGGGGAATCCCAGAATGAAAATACCGAGAGTGAAACTTCTGACAATGGTGACTCCCAGAATGGAAATACCGAGAGTGAAACTTCTGAAAATGGTGACTCCCAGAATGGAAATACCGAGAGTGAAACTTCTGAAAATGGTGACTCCCAGAATGGAAATACCGAGAGTGAAACTTCTGGCAATGGTGACTCCCAGAATGGAAATTCCGATGCACGTAAGTCTGATTCAAAACAAAGCTGGTGTCAGACTCACAACAAATTAATGAAATTTTAGAACTTAAAAGCGATTGCGAACTTCGCAATAAGTTAAAGCTTACCAACCATTTATATTACAAATACTGCAAACTTGTGGTTACTAGGATGATGTATTACTGATATCTGGATATTATCCGGTTGGAAGAGACAAGGACAAGTGAAACAAGGAAGTTAGGAGTAAGGGCAAATTTTCGGCGTCAACGCCATCTTCAGGCTAAAATTGTTATAAATGTTAGTATATAATAAATGCTTCTATACTAGTTAAAATGCTAAATTAAAATTACACACACTGAATACAGGTTACATCAAATGGTATTATACATTACATTGAAAATAGTGATGTACACACGTTTTACACTCTGTCCAAGTACATAATATCTACTGAACAGCAGGGTCGTGTGCTATTTGTTTAAATTTGTCTTTGAATATGTTGTAAAAGAAATCCCTTAAGCTTCTCGCACTCTTGAACTTTGTTATTGATACTAGGTTTAAATAAATTAATGTAGTAAGCTTCTGTCACTTTACGTTTAATGGTGCTATATAAGTTAATTTCTAAAATATCGAAGGAAATATCTGGTTCTATGTTATCGTGAAACTCTGAATAATGAGCAGCCAACGCATTATCAGGATAGGTTAAAGGCCTGTTGACTGCTCTTCGATGCTCTGAAAATCTATCGTGTGCTGTTCTACTCGTTTCCCCTATATATAGCTCTTGACATAATTTACACGTAACTTTGTATATGACACATTTTGGTTTGCAGTCGTGATTTGTTGTGATGAGTGGACATATATGATACAGTTTGGTATGGTGCAGTGTGGTTTGTCGTGTGGTCGTGATGAACATAAGATCTCTGAGAGTTTCTTACCTGGTGTGAATATGAATTTGACCGGTAAGTTGTGTGAGAGGGCAAATTGAGTGACTTCTTTGGAAAATGGCTCGTTGATGAATGGTAGAGTGCATGTTACGTGGTCGGTATCTTGTATGTTTGATGATGAAGGGTTATGACGTGTTGTAGGTGAGAGAGGGTCAAGTCGTCCAGTTTTGTTTATACGTCGTGGGTCTTGGTAACCGTTGTTGACCAACAAGTTGTCTACTATCTTCATGGACTCTTCTTTATACTCTGGTGTTGATGAGCAAAAAGCAGCCGTTTTGTAGAAGTTCTTGATGGTTGCTACTTTAGTTCCCTCATTGTGGTGGCTGTTGGCGTGCAGTGTGATATTCTTTTTCTGCTTCTTTCTGTAGAATTTGTGGTGTAGTGTTCCCTGTTCGTCGATCTTTATCTGGGTGTCGAGGAATGGGGTGAAATCCTGACGGCTTTCCGGATAGTCAATTTCCCATTTGAGCAACTGGTCTGGGTCCTCGTTTGAGATGGACTCCACTATCCTCAGAGCTTCTTCTTTGGAGCTGGCTAGACTCCCGGCATCATCCACGTATCTCCGGTAGAATGAGACGTGTAAATCAGTGTAAATCGATCTTCTCTCGAACATATATACTCGTACTATCGCTCCTATTGGTGATGGTTGGCACCCCATGAAGAGACCAATTTTCTTACACATCCTACTTATCTCTGTCCATAACACATTACTCTCAGTCTCTCTCTTAATTATGACAGCAAAACAGTAGACTTATTTAAATCACATAATACCCAACTACCGACTATTTATTTAATACAGAAAACTCATAAATTTGATTGTAATGTCTTAGTTTCAGATGTAGATATTATTTCTAATTGTAAAATACGTCCAATTGTGTCTTGTATAAATTCCCCTTCTGAGAAGCTTGCTTGGATTGTTAAATCTATTCTATCTCCTCTGCTTAATCATGTTCCATCTCACCTGAGCAATATACACACTCACCTAGAAGAGCTTCAAAACATGTCACATCAACAACTCTCAGGTCTCTCATTCTTCACAGCTGACGTCACAGCACTGTACACAAACATCAACATCAGTGGCTGCATTCAAGACCTCATTACACTCACCGAAGAACATTGGGAAGACCTCGACACCTGGGGTCTAACACTCACGCACATCCACAAGATCCTTGAATTCGTCTTCACCAACTCATACTTTACATATCACTCAAGACTCTACCTCCAGAAAATTGGTCTCTTCATGGGGTGCCAACCATCACCAATAGGAGCGATAGTACGAGTATATATGTTCGAGAGAAGATCGATTTACACTGATTTACACGTCTCATTCTACCGGAGATACGTGGATGATGCCGGGAGTCTAGCCAGCTCCAAAGAAGAAGCTCTGAGGATAGTGGAGTCCATCTCAAACGAGGACCCAGACCAGTTGCTCAAATGGGAAATTGACTATCCGGAAAGCCGTCAGGATTTCACCCCATTCCTCGACACCCAGATAAAGATCGACGAACAGGGAACACTACACCACAAATTCTACAGAAAGAAACAGAAAAAGAATATCACACTGCACGCCAACAGCCACCACAATGAGGGAACTAAAGTAGCAACCATCAAGAACTTCTACAAAACGGCTGCTTTTTGCTCATCAACACCAGAGTATAAAGAAGAGTCCATGAAGATAGTAGACAACTTGTTGGTCAACAACGGTTACCAAGACCCACGACGTATAAACAAAACTGGACGACTTGACCCTCTCTCACCTACAACACGTCATAACCCTTCATCATCAAACATACAAGATACCGACCACGTAACATGCACTCTACCATTCATCAACGAGCCATTTTCCAAAGAAGTCACTCAATTTGCCCTCTCACACAACTTACCGGTCAAATTCATATTCACACCAGGTAAGAAACTCTCAGAGATCTTATGTTCATCACGACCACACGACAAACCACACTGCACCATACCAAACTGTATCATATATGTCCACTCATCACAACAAATCACGACTGCAAACCAAAATGTGTCATATACAAAGTTACGTGTAAATTATGTCAAGAGCTATATATAGGGGAAACGAGTAGAACAGCACACGATAGATTTTCAGAGCATCGAAGAGCAGTCAACAGGCCTTTAACCTATCCTGATAATGCGTTGGCTGCTCATTATTCAGAGTTTCACGATAACATAGAACCAGATATTTCCTTCGATATTTTAGAAATTAACTTATATAGCACCATTAAACGTAAAGTGACAGAAGCTTACTACATTAATTTATTTAAACCTAGTATCAATAACAAAGTTCAAGAGTGCGAGAAGCTTAAGGGATTTCTTTTACAACATATTCAAAGACAAATTTAAACAAATAGCACACGACCCTGCTGTTCAGTAGATATTATGTACTTGGACAGAGTGTAAAACGTGTGTACATCACTATTTTCAATGTAATGTATAATACCATTTGATGTAACCTGTATTCAGTGTGTGTAATTTTAATTTAGCATTTTAACTAGTATAGAAGCATTTATTATATACTAACATTTATAACAATTTTAGCCTGAAGATGGCGTTGACGCCGAAAATTTGCCCTTACTCCTAACTTCCTTGTTTCACTTGTCCTTGTCTCTTCCAACCGGATAATATCCAGATATCAGTATTTCAATCATGAGACTAATAAACAGCGAACTACTCCGTTATTTGATGATGTATTAGTACAGTTAAAAAGGATCTAACTTGCTCCTTATTTCAGATATAACAGAAGTAAACCAGGAACAACTCAAAGGTACCGACGCAAACATATCTTGCAATGTAACTAATCTAAGGCAACAACTTGCGGAGGTGAAATGGAGAGACTCAGAGGGTTACGAAGTAGCGAGCAGTGTGTCCGGAACATTTGACGGAGTGTCCGGAACATTTGACGCCTCTTCCTCTTCTCAAACTACCACTCTATCGGTGGCTGGTGTAGATAACATCAAGGATACTACTTATAAATGTCTTGTCAGGACTACAGCAGATGCGGCGTGGCAGGAGGCTACTGTCCACTTAAAAGTTTTCAGTAAGTATCCCGGAAATTGTTGAGTATACAATTGCAATACAGTGGCACTTTTAAACAGTGTTTCGTGAGGCAATTTTTATTTTTTATTAAATACTTCTCAAACTTTACAGAGTACAGCAATTATAGCGTATAAAATAAACTCGAATAAATTATTGCCCCCGGCCCCGTCTATTAAATCTGACGGGAAACCATACACGGTACTGCACAGTAAAATGTGCCCGCAATTACATGGCCCCGATAAAAACATGCAATCCTCGTTATCAAGATTCTAAAATAACATTGATATGAAACCACCATTTCAGCTGCCACCCCTACAACCAAATTGGTTACTACTGCTGTCGATCAAACACTAAGTTGTACAATTGGTGACTTGGATGCAAATCATCCGGTCTACGTAACGTGGACAGAACCAGATGGTGGAGCGGTTTCAAAATCAAGTATAGGAGAGTACTACGAAATCGACGATGGAGAGGTTGATAAGGCTGGAATTCAACATGCAACTCTTACTATTAAAGAAGCCAAAATGAGAGAGTTTTCCGGACAAACCTCCTTCGTTTACACGTGTTCGGTTAGGTCGGTTCAATACAATACACTGGAACCTTCACCATCATCTGATATAGTTGTCTCTGCAGACATTCTCACACTAAGTAAGTGCTAAATTGAAGAATCTATGATCCATATCTCGAATGAAGTGGGATCAGTATTCTGCTTTTAGTTTCAACAGTCTTTTATAACCTGGCAATTTCAACTTTATAAATTCTTAGACCAACTTCACTTAGGATGATCTAACGCTATCGTTTGATCCGGAATTAGTATAAAACGATTGAATATCTCAAACATGAGATAAACGAAACAAACCCACAACCACAGATGTAGAACCAGTGAGTAGCCAAGTGGAAGACGGCACAGCCACAACAATCACAACAATCACAATATCTTGTGTAGTATCCGGTCTCACAAAGGAGCTGGACGGGGTGGGATGGGTGAGGAGGTGGGAGGGTGTTGATGTAAATATAGAAAACAAAGATGAGAATGGCTATTGGGTTGATAAGGGTACTTTTGAAGCTGAGGCCGGTCGTCAGATCACTTCGTTAGAGATTCCTGTCAGCACTATTAGAGATGGTGATGTGTTCGCTTGTGTCATACAATCTGATGAACATGGGAAAACAAAAGAAGCTCCCGAACGGAAGGTTGTACATAGTAAGTTTGCAATAGACTGTTATTATTTGCGTAACCGTTGATTTATAGTACATACTTTCATATGTACAACATTTTCATGAAAAACTTTCAAAAGGTTTGTGAAGCCTTGAATAATGAAATGTACTCCAGCGCGGTGTGAGGCAGGTTCCTACAGATCCATCTCAATGACAGTGTGTGAGGAGTGTCCTCCAGGAAATCAAGCCAACCCCGAACAGACGCAATGCGGTGAGACTGAAAGATCCTATAAATAATAAAGCTGAACTTAAAATAAACGAAAATAACACCGTCTAATAGCATTTCAATATTGAGATTAAGATAGTTTCTGACCCCTGTGAATATTTTTCAGACTCCTGTTATAGAGGTTCGTACAGAGACGACTCGATGATGAGGTGTGAGGTGTGTCCACCGGGAACTGAAGCTGATCAACAACGCTCACAATGTGGTAAAACAGTAAAATTCTTTTCAATTATCAATATTTTTATTAACTGACATTTTGTATTAACCCCGATCTAACCCAAACCGTCTATTTTAGCGGGCACCAATTATTTGTAGTTTCAGTCCTGGCTTAAGTTGTACAACTACATGAGAAACAAAGTTTAATATAGCAAGAATGAACATTCGGATATCATTGAAAGGGAAAGCTTTATCTAAACAGCAATTAAATCACAACAAATACTTTACAGAGGCTTGCAGAGAAGGATTCTACAAGGACAGCACATACACGGAGTGTGAGGCATGTCCTACTAATCAATTCAGTTTAGAAGGGGCGGAACACTGTACCCCGTGTCCCTCAGGAGCTGTAGTAAACCAAGAGCAGTCGCAGTGTGGTAAGTCACGTGTCACTCCTTATATGGGCATCATGTCACGTGTCACTCCTTATATGGGCATCATGTCACGTGTCACTCCTTATATGGGCATCATGTCACGTGTCACTCCTTATATGGGCATCATGTCACGTGTCACTTCTTATATGGGCATCATGTCACGTGTCACTCCTTATATGGGCATCTTATCACGTGTATACCTCATTTAAACTCTTTCTAACTCGTTGTAACACTTTACAGTGCAGAGTTGCAGTGAAAACCAATATCAATGCCAAGACAAATCAGGGTGTATACCCTCTACTAAGAAGTGTGACGGAGTAAAGCACTGTCCTGACAGTTCAGATGAAACCCCACCCACTTGTATTGGTGGTGGTGAGTACCTTTATAGTTTATAAATCTCAAGTTCTTAAATAGGTTCATATCTCCTTCAATCCTTCATCCTGATTAACTTTCTCCCCTCTACTACCTCTCATCAGTTCTCATTATCTTAGTTCTGATAAAACCCGGGGATTGTCAGGTAGTGCACCACCCGGTTTTAAGATAAGAAGTCAACTTGGTATTTTCTGGCAATTAAGCTATCAAGCTAGAGTCTGAAATCAAATTCTAATATGTTATGAACTCCGTCTGAATTCCAGGAACAACAGCTGAAGAAACTTCTCCAGCGTGCCCGCCCCTTCCCCCACCTGACGGTATCTCCAAACTCACCTGCAGCTCTCCCACCCGGTGTACCTACTCTTGTATTAACCCCTTACTGAGGTTCTACACAAGTACCTATACATTACAGACAGGGCTGGTGTCTGAGATGGAGGTCACGTGCAACCCAGCTACCTCCCAGTGGTCTCATATGGGCTTTTATAACCCTTTCGGGGTCTTCCCTTCTTGTAGAGGTTGGTTTATTTAATGTGGGCATTATTTCAGTTATGAAGGAATTAAGTATTATGGGATCAATTCATTATAATTTGGCAGATAAGGTCATGGATATATACTATGTTCTTGTAGAGGTGTTCAGGGCTTGTAAATCCGAATATTGCTGGGAAGGTGAAGAAGGAAGGAACCATATTGTTCTGACAAAGGTTTTGATTGGTTAATGCTGAAAGCTGATTGGTTAAAAAATGTAGTTCATATCCCCCTCATACATAATATAGTCCTTAATCTTTTAAACCACCTGCTAGGTGCTAGCCCCTTTGTTTACCTAAGGGTTTGTTTGAGCCTTCAAAACATGAGCAAGCATGATACAAAAATTACCACGGTGGACAGATTCATGAATATAACATAGATTAACAAGTTTCCTCAATTTCAACAACCAAGATCAAATCAGTCCTATAAGACACGTTCCCTGCACAAGTGTGACAAATTTGGGGATGCTTAAAAAAGAAAATTACTGTTCGACTTAAAGATAAAATCTCTTAACTTAACCTATAAATTAACAGATGTAATTTGTCAGAGACTTTCGGATATACGCTTTTCTTAGAATGGACGGGGAGTTTCTCCCCTTCCTCTATACACGGAGATGAAGACCCTGACCGACCCTCTCGTTCCACTACAACTTGCCCAACAAACCTCACTGAAACTGTAAGATCTGCTTTCTATGGCGTAGAGAAATTACAAAAAATCAAGTTCATGTGTAAAATCGAAGGTGACGAATCGGATGATCACGAAACTACCAATTGCTTTTACATTAGAGTAAGTACTAAGTAATGTAAAGGGAGAGGTTTTGTTTTTAACTTATAGTTTGAGAGCATTAATGCTCTGAAGTTTAATCCCAAGTGAAGACTACATGCTTTTTTTCATTGCAATAATAAAGTTTAGTTGTTACGCTTAATATTCAACAATTTTGCCGCAAAATAGAAAATTTAAAATAACATGCGTCTGATTAAAAAAATCGGGACATTCCTAGGTTTCGAAAATGGTTTTGAATAAATCTTTTATCCTTCAGGATGGTGGTAAATGTACAGTTTTGGATGATGTAAGTTTACTGCTAACCTTTTTTATGGGAGTACAGCTTCCCGGAAATGAAAACAATAACAAAACTTACATAACTGTGATAGGAGATGCATTAAACCAGAAATTTTATGATATTGCGTTTAATATAACAGTGGATGGGACTAAGTTTACAGATAATAATGATCTGAATATGGTCGGTGTGAAAAACGATTGCAAATACGGACATGTATTGATGGATGGGGAAACTCCTTGCGGTTAGTCGTACTGTTTGTCAAGAATACAAGTTTCCAGCGGTTTAAAAAATTGGCCATATATAATGGTACAGTGAATTTTATGTGTTATATCAATCACAGAGTGAGCCTAATCACGTGACTAACTAATAATTAAACACCTTCCAGTGCCATGTGACAGAGGGGAGTTCTACGATGGGCCCGGGTGTAGCCTGTGTCCTCGAAACCAGTACAACAGTAATATTGGTATGACAGAGTGCGAACCTTGTTCCGGTAGTGACGTCACACCACGGGAGGGATCTGTAGAGATAACAAGCTGTGTTCCTCCAACAGGTTCTTATCTTGCTTAGTTCGGTTAAGGACCTCCACATACTTAGTAAGCCACGTGAGAGATCTGTAGAGATAACAAGCTGCGTTCTTCCAACAGGTTCTTATCTTGCTTAGTTCGGTTTAGGACCTCCACATACTTAATAAGCCACGTGAGGGATCTATACAGATAACAAGCTGTGTTCCTCCAACAGGTTCCTATCTTGCTTAGTTCGGTTTAGGACATCCACATACGTAGTAAGCCACGTGAGAGATCTGTAGAGATAACAAGCTGCGTTCTTCCAACAGGTTCTTATCTTGCTTAGTTTGGTTTAGGACCTCCACATACTTAATAAGCCACGTGAGGGATCTATACAGATAACAAGCTGTGTTCCTCCAACAGGTTCTTATCTTGCTTAGTTCGGTTTAGGACATCCACATACTTAGTAAGCCACGTGAGAGATCTGTAGAGATAACAAGCTGCGTTCTTCCAACAGGTTCTTATCTTGCTTAGTTCGGTTTAGGACCTCCACATACTTAATAAGCCACGTGAGGGATCTATACAGATAACAAGCTGTGTTCCTCCAACAGGTTCTTATCTTGCTTAGTTCGGTTTAGGACATCCACATACTTAGTAAGCCACGTGAGAGATCTGTAGAGATAACAAGCTGCGTTCTTCCAACAGGTTCTTATCTTGCTTAGTTCGGTTTAGGACCTCCACATACTTAGTAAGCCACGTGAGGGATCAGTAGAGATAACAAGCTGTGTTCCTCCAACAGGTTCCTATCTTGCTTAGTTCGGTTTAGGACCTCCACATACTTAGTAAGCCACGTGAGGGATCTGTAGAGATAACAAGCTGTGTTCCTCCAACAGGTTCCTATCTTGCTTAGTTCGGTTTAGGACCTCCACATACTTAGTAAGCCACGTGAGAGATCTGTAGAGATAACAAGCTGCGTTCTTCCAACAGGTTCTTATCTTGCTTAGTTCGGTTTAGGACCTCCACATACTTAGTAAGCCACGTGAGGGATCAGTAGAGATAACAAGCTGTGTTCCTCCAACAGGTTCCTATCTTGCTTAGTTCGGTTTAGGACCTCCACATACTTAGTAAGCCACGTGAGGGATCTGTAGAGATAACAAGCTGTGTTCCTCCAACAGGTTCCTATCTTGCTTAGTTCGGTTTAGGACCTCCACATACTTAGTAAGCCACGTGAAGGATCTGTAGAGATAACAAGCTGTGTTCCTCCAACAGGTTCCTATCTTGCTTAGTTCGGTTTAGGACCTCCACATACTTAGTAAGCCACGTGAAGGATCTATACAGATAACAAGCTGTGTTCCTCCAACAGGTTCTTATCTTGCTTAGCGTCATAGTGATCGTTGTAATGTTATGTTATTGTTGTTTTTTTTATACCCTTTATATATTATTATTAATCAACTATTTACAGCAAACACAAGATAATAGAAATTAAATCATAAAATCGAGTGGCCGAGTAGTCTCGACTCACCCATAACTTCTCCAAAGACGTCTATCATGAGCTTTGTACACTAAATCGTTGAAATTACTTAAACTAAATCTTTTATTTACAATCACAATAATTTGTTTTGTCATAATGTCTTTTAATAATAAATCAAATAAATTTGAACGAGGTCTGCCCCTCCTTCCTTTGTAGTCAAAACATCCTAAACATGCAAATCTGAAAGATAAGAAGGCGGGAGTGTCATCACCGCTTCTGAGAACGTGCCCAAGCATCTTCCATCTTGCTTTCTTGATCCTTTCAGTAAGGGGTCTGACATTACATCTCTTATATAAATTCTCGTTACTGATAACCGTAGGCCAATAGGTGTTGATTATCTGTCTCAGATGCTTCCTTTGAAGAACGTCGACAGATGCCATTACGGTTTTAGGAGCAGCCCAGCTGCTACAGTTATACAACAACACTGAAGTGACAAGAGCTTCGTACAGCTTCAGCTTTCTACTCTCACTGATCTGAACAGAACTATTCAACCAGACTTTCTTGTAGGTGTAGAAGGCAACATTGGCTTTGTTGCGTCTGTTGACAATATCTCTTTCTGAGCAGAGCTTTGATCCTAATAGCACTGACTCTCGCCACTCTTCATCTCCTCTAATTTTATTGCCATGGGCATCTAAAGCATCTGTATCTGCCAAATACACTCTTGTAAACACCGTCTTTGATTCGTTAACAAAGAGACTCCAATCCCTTAGTATATCACTGGCAATCTCTAGTATCTTCACCAGGATCTGACCATCTTCACTCAGAAGCTCAGCATCGTCAGCATAGGCGGACTCTAACGGGAGGCCTCTATCAGAGACTGGGGGGTTCGGTCTAGGAATCGTGACACTGATCACGGCTCTGATGTGATTCAGGGCACCGGCAAGGGTCAATGTAAACACTTTACCTGCCAGACTGTCTCCCTGGTAAGCGCCAATATTAATCACAAATTCACCAGACTCAGATCTGTTGACCGTCACCTTGAGCGTTGTATTTGAGAGGAGGTACTGAACTAGGCGAATGTCGTCTCTAGAGCATCCTGCATCAATGAGGAGGTTGATGATGGTCTGTCTGCGGATAGTATTAAACGCAGCGGTCATGTCAATGTTGATTTTACTATACTCAAACTCGCGCCTGGTAACCACTGATGTCAACATTCTCTGAGACCATACCAGGTCAGCACAACTGCGACCCTGCTTGTATGCCGCCTGCCAAGGTCCAGTGTACATATCAACGTGGTAATTGATTCTGTTCAAGGCTACGAGGGATAGGACTTTTCTAGTTCCATTTAGCAATGTGAGGGGCCGGATAGACTTTATCGGACCTCGGGGTTTTCCTGGCTTCTGAAGGGGTGTCAGGATACCTTCTCCAATAGCTGGGATGTATGTGTTGGTCTCAAAGGAGAGATTATAGATCCTAGCCAACTCACCCTTTATATAAGCCAATTTTTTGGCCAACTTAGATCCTTTTCTTTACCACTTTTACTCGTGGCTATTATTACTAGAGTTGGCTTACTTATGTGGAGGTCCTTTACCTGTAACCAGCATCTTTCACCCTGGGTTTTCATACATCTTATCTAATCAGGATTTTTTAATATTCTAAATTAGTTCAACCTTTCATCAGTCATTACAACTGCTGAGAATGGTTACTAATGGTTACTAGTGGTTACTAGTGGTTACTAATGCTCCGTAATCTTTACCTACTTAAACTTGACACTTAAATAATAGTATTACCACCAGAGGTGTGCACGGTGTTGGAGGAGCCGGCCGGCCGCAGATCACCAACGCCAGGAACCAAAGTCACAACCCAAACACCAGTCCAGACTTTCTGTCAGAATGGATATTCTCTAAAGTACGGAGAAACAGCTGAACGAACGTGCGAGTTTCTGACGCAGACTGACTCTACTCAACAGTGTTTTGGTGAGTCAACTTTGGAGTTCCTTATTTGTAACAAATGTAACACTTGTAATACTTGTAACACTTGTAACACGATGTTTCTTGTAATTGTAGTCATCAAAATGCAACTATTATAAACTGGATTTCTATAATTTTAATGCACCTATCAAATGATGCTTACAAGTCATCAAAATGCGCTTGTAAACATCAAATACGCAAATAAATTTGCTACAGCCTAAACCAGCGAAAAAACTAACATTTTCCTAATATTGATTACAGAGGTGTGTACCATTCTATCTAGCAAGAATAAAGATGTGGAATACTACTATTACACAAACAGTGCGGGTGAACGTAGAGTGTACCGGAAGGACTATCTCATGTATAACCAAGTAATACAGGTGCAGGGCACGTGCTTTGGGGCGGGAATAGGTGAGCTATTCTGTCATACTCCTGGATCAGAGATAGGTGTGCCAATATGTCAAGATGGGACCAATGGAACTGTACCTAAAGGTTTGGATTATTTTCTTACTTTAATTACTTCTGTTTAAGAGTGCTCTCTTAAATTATTACCAGTGATCGAATGAGGATGTCATGTCAGACCCAAACTGAGAACCGGTTTTTTTGGTCGTAATAAGATTGCCAACTTTCCGAGGACTCGGTCGAATAATTTGTAACATTAATCTGTAACAGTAATGTAACACAGTACATGTAATACACTTCAGCCTGTGCCAGTGAGCGAGAGATCAGTGCAGTATTTGGTGATTATAACTGGCCGGAGACTGAACCTGGTACCAACACTACCCTACCCTGTCAGCACACAGTGAATCAGTGTTCAGTTTACTACTTTTATTAGTTTACTACTAATAAAAGTAGTAAACTGAACACGATATATACACATGAATTTTTAAAGCTCATGTTAATAAAACCTTTCGTATCATTTATATGTTTTAAGAACTTCCTTCCAGGGTATTTAATGTGGTCGTACTACCAATCCTATCATTCTCTTAGAACTAACTAAACAATCTGTAGCTGATCTTTATTGTCATCATGTTACCAGGATGAGTTCAACGCCAAGAAGTTCTGTAGCTCAACTGGTAAATACAGAGAGACTGACTTCTCTTCCTGCCCCTCTTCTGTGGCTCCAGAGATTAATGATATTTTTGAGGTACCCATTTTGAAATAAGCATCGATATGAAACACATCACGTTAAGAGAAGAAGGTTCAAATTAACAAAGCGTGGTTATTAATTTTAATTAATATAATATCAACTTAATGAACGCAGAACAACCGGTTTCCCTTCCAACTCAACCAACTGCCCCTTATATCCAGAAATTTATGATATTTTTGAGATACTCATTTCTATACCAGTGTAAATATGAAACACCCTTTCGAGATAAGATGGTTTCCCCAACACTTAAAAAAACCAAATTTCCCTTCCAACTCCACCAACCGTCCCCTTATACCAGGAAGTTCAAGGAGTCACCACTGAAACCCAAGACGATATATCAGAGAAGATCAAGGAAACTACAGCATATTCTGGTGGACAGATGAGCTCGCAGGACGTGGAGAAGACAGCTGACATTATTGACGACTTCCTGGATGCCCCTGATATAGGTTATACTTATAACTTACGTTAAGAATTTAAGAATTATTATAATATGCTAATTTATGCAATATTTAATGTATTGAATGTAAATATAGATAGTGAGTGTTAATTGTTAATATATATATAATGTATTATATATGCCGCGTATAATGTATATATATACATTATACGCGGCAAGAAAACGCCATTAATATAAATGTAATATATGATTATCCACTTTCTTAAATTATATTTAACACGACTTTATAATATCTTTAATAATTTCATCAGAGCTGTCCCTCACCACCATTGACAACCTCATCAAGACAGTTGACAATGTTCAGACTAACGCAGAGGAAGAGGAGATGAGGAAAGAGGGAACGAGCGATAAGTTCAGGTGATAATTGAATATTTTAAATATTTAACATAATATATTATAATATGACATAATACTTAATTAATATGTTAACGTATCTTGGATTAAACATTCGTATCCTCCTCAGAGTACATCAAAGCACAATAAATCGCCATAAATGCAGTTTGATCACATTTCATACGATTCTTTGTCGTTGTTACTATTGTTACTTTGTTAGTTAGTTAGTTAGTTAGTTACTTTGTTAGTTAGTTAGTTAGTTAGTTAGTTAGTTAGTTAGTTAGTTAGTTAGTTAGTTAGTTAGTTAGTTAGTTAGTTACTACTAGTATAGAGCTTAACCCCGGTTCTGACAGGGAATCTGCTGTGAAGATTGTGGGGGAAATCGCTAAGAGGACGGAGGCGACGTTTGTGCCAATGAAATCTGTTGGTAAGTTTGCAAGTCTTGCAGAATGTTGGGAACGTTTCCATATCAAAGTGGTTCTCGATATATTAATTAAATAGAAACATCATCACATTACATTTTAGTGCCTTTTAGAATACAGAAATATAAAGAAAGTGTTCTCAGGATTTGCTGTAGCCGAAGTTACAGAGGTTGATACAATAAGGTCAGTAACAAAGAATCTGTTAGTGTTGACTGGTGAGACGAATGTTATTGAGGGCAGCAACAACGAGGAAAAGTCAGGAACCAACACCTACTTCAAAGTAAGTGTAGTCAGGAACCAACACCTACTTCAAAGTAAGTGTAGTCAGGAACCAACACCTACTTCAAAGTAAGTGTAGTCAGGAACCAACACCTACTTCAAAGTAAGTGTAGTCAGGAACCAACACCTACTTCAAAGTAAGTGTAGTCAGGAACCAACACCTACTTCAAAGTAAGTGTAGTCAGGAACCAACACCTACTTCAAAGTAAGTGTAGTCAGGAACCAACACCTACTTCAAAGTAAGTGTCACCCTAATCACTCGGTACTCTCTAAAATCACAGTTATTTCATAGGTCAGTGTGGGTCTTGACACTCCAGCCAAGTTTAACTTTTTTAATTCAAATCCAAATTCATATACTAATCTATGCATACCAGGTGTTTGATTTTTTCCCGAAATAAGTACACACTACACATCTCATAGATGTTTTGAAAACCCACAATGATTCAGATCTTATCTTTTTTTTAATGATAAGATGATACAAGATAAACTGAGTTATCCCCGGATAGGCTGAACTCTCAACATCTGAGAACGAGGTTGCTACGGCTGTTTACTATGAGACTGATAAGTCGTTCCCATCCACTGCTGTGTCTACAGGGACTACTGCTGATGAGAGTTTCCAAACAGTCGCTAAGAAACTGGTCGCAGAGACTGGAGAAGTAAGTTATGATTTACTCTTACTTATTACTAACTAGATTACATTTTTAATTAATGAGGACTAGTAGACTCAAATGAGTTTTCCTAATGGATTCCTGATTGACGACAAACAATGATATCTGTTATCTGCATTAACATTACATGGGAGAAGAGTCACGATTATGATTTCAGGTATCTTTGGTAGCAACAGTTATATCTGATATCAACATCGTGGACAGAAGCTCTTCTGCGATAATACCTTTGGGAGTGGGTAAAAAAGTTACCATGAAATTCCAGATTAAGGTAAAGTTAACAAATCTATATGATACCAAGTAATCTTTATTTACATTATCTCTATACTATATATAGGAATATGTATTATGTTACCAAGTAATCTACATGTTACCAATTATGTTACCAAGTAACCGTCGTGAACCCAGGATGAAACAGAGAAGAAAGTGCACAGTTACACAAGAAGAAAGACTCTGGTAACCAGTAAGCTGAGCTGCAAGTACTATGACAGTGCGATTGAGGGTATGTTCAGTTATTACTAAGCTACTGAGATTATGTTGAGTATTTGAATACTTAGCTTTTATCCCTTTTTGTAAGAAACAAAACTGGAAATAGAATCCAACGGCTTCGAGAATTTATAACTATGTTGATTGATTGCTATTCCTATTTTGAACAACGTACATATTCTGTTGTATTTACTCATACTATATCTTGTCTAAACTTCAGTGAGAGATTGGAGTGAGGCAGGTTGTGAGACTGAGACTGATGATGCACTGCTGGGAGAGACTGGTGTCACTTGCTCGTGTGATCATCTCACTAGTTTTGCAGTTCTCATGGTATGTTCACTATATGTATATATGTATAGCTGAAAGCACGGTGCATGGCCTACACGGACCGCCTCTAACTGGCCAATCCCTGTTTACATGCCGTGTAGCAGGGAACCAGATAGAGCTAAACTAGTAAGCGGGACATAAAGCTCTTCATTTACCTTTCACCTTTCAGTGATTCATTTCCTTCTGGGCTACCTCACACTGAAAAATGAGCGCCGACCACAAGTTGTCCGCTCTGTAAAATGAAAAAAATTTCAGTCGTTCACGAAGGAGGAGAACGATCTAGAGGAGCTGGTATCGCACATTCTGCTCGGGATCAGCCTCTTCTGTCTGCTCCTAACTCTTGCTGCCATCCTTCCGAACAAGTAAGGTGATGCGCAGTGCCGCGTCCTGCCGTGCCGTATGAAATTATGAATTGTTGTGCTTTTAGAGTGTGAAGTTTATGAATGCTGATGTGGATTGTGGAATCACCCTATCACAGCCGTTTTTAATAGGCACTTCCTCCTTTCTGTTTCATATCTTGTTTAAAATCGAATTTTTTTCAGGAAATCCTTGAAAATGAAGTCTGTTCGTGTAAATCTTATGCTGATTATAGCTCTGATTTTCTCTATCGTCTGTTTCTTCTTGATGGACCTATTCGTGGAGACGGAAGATGACATTGAGCCTAGTATCCCCTGCTCCATTGTAAGTAACTATTGACAACTGTAGTGTTTGAATTATTATGGCTACTTACCATAATGTCTACTGCTATGAGGCAAAAAGCGTGCAGTAGCTTGTACGACTGCGGGATTTGTACCTTGAATCAACGTTGATCATCCACATTAAATTCCTTGACTAATAACAAACTAACTTCAGATCGCATTTCTGTTGAACTATTTCTGGCTGTGTCAACTGAGCTGGATGATAGTAGAAGCTGCTACCATGTACCTGGCTCTAGTCAAAGTGTTCGGAACCTACATCAGTAGGGCGATGCTGAAGTACAGTTTGGTAGGGTGGGGAGCTCCTCTTGTATTCCCGCTGATTGCTGTTGCTTGGGGGAGGGCGGAGTTCGCTGATCCTAAGACGTCAGTTCCATTTGGAGAGTAGAAATTTCAGTATTTTGTTGGCAAGGCTCCCTGTATCTGTGGATATATTACCGAATTCTCCTTTGACAGAATATAATTCGACTACCATATCTTTCAAGACTTTTAAATGAATGATGGGAACCTTAAAAGTATAAAAGTAACACTTACCCGAGTAATTACCATTATTAAATAATAACATGGTACAGGTGTTTTATAAAGTACCCCTACGGACTAGCCACGTTCTACGCCCCTGTAGTGTTGGGAGTCCTGGTTAACTGGGTGCTGTTCTTCTTTATAGTACGGGTTATCTTGGTAGCCAGCAAGAATAAGGCTCAGAAAATGGGTGATTCCAATGTCAAGATGAGACAAGTAAGTTTACTGTTTAGTTTTCACCAGAATTTGAAATACAGAAATAGTACATACCCGATGATCATGAACATTACAAATTCCTTCTGAACACTGTTTTTATGATATTTTTTCAACAAGTTCTTCCGTTCCATAGAAGCAGCTACAGTCGGCTCTGGCAGTATCTACTCTACTAGGCTTGAGTTGGATTATTGGCTCTTTCCTCCTGGTGGATAACAGGAACTACAGTACAATAAACATAGCGCTTAGGTGGCTCTTTACACTTCTCAATGCCCCTCAGGTAAACTTACTGCTCTCATTTCCAATAGCTGATTAGTCACGGTGAAATCAAAATGGATGCCTATTGCCTTGTGACAAGATATTGGTCAGAAATTACGTGATCGCTTGATAGCTCACCGTCCATATTATGTCCGCCCAAAATTATGTCCGCCCATGTATTTTCCGCCTAAATAAGGTCCGATAAGTTAACCTGATTGCTTATCCAGGGGATCTTCATATTTCTCTTCTACGTTGTTCTTAAAGAGGACACACGAAACTTCTGGTTGCAAAAGTTCAAACGGCAGAAGAAGAAGGTTCCAGGAATATCGTACACTGGTGTAGACTCAAAAGGTCTGTACAGTAAATCAAAAAAATTCCTCGATGTTACATAATGAAATTCTTCGCTGATATCTAATTTTAATCTTGATTTAAAATCGTTAAGTTTGCTTCTTGTTTCTTATAATAAATCAACGTCTAGCGACTCTGATTACACTTCACCCGCGTTCCAGGTCAGAAGAAGAAAGACATCAACAGCACCACAGCAATATCCCAGGTTGTTTCCAACCAGTCGGTGATGAACACCCAACTCAGTATAACACCTAACATAACACCTTATACAACACCCCAGAATACACCTCTCCTAACACCTCGTCACGTGACTAAACCTGTTGTTAATAATACTGACACTGCTAGTGCTCTCAGCGTGGAAATTCATATTCCTGTCTCCAGTTCAAAACATTTGGTAGATAGTGATCCCCCCGATGGACGTATTGGTAAAGTTGGTAATTTAGAAGTAGAGTCAAAACTTTCGGGTGATGAAGTGTCGAGGACAAGTAGTGATCAAGTTGAAGATGAGAGGATTTATTTTGATCCCGACGAAATTAATTTGGAGTCAGAGGAGGTTAAGATAGAAATGGAGCATTCATTCCCTGATAATACTGAAGTCGTTGACATTGATATAAATGTGAATAAAGGCTTACCCGCAGAAAATGAATACACCATTAATCTTTCAATCGGGGACAGTAACACCATAGAAAATGTTTCGATTGAAGGCAGTGAATCTAAAGATGTTTCATCCTCGCAAAAAAGTGAATCAGTAGAAAATGTATCTTCTTTGGTTAGTGAATCAAAAGAAGATACACCTTCTATAGTCAGTGAATCAGAAGAAAACGTACCTTCCCTACCCAGTAAATCAGAAGAAGATTTATTTTCTATGGATAACGAATCAGTAGAAGATGTAACTTCAAGGGGTATTGTATTTATAGAATATGAACCTTCTATAGAAATAGAAACAGAAAAAAATGCACCTACTATTATAGATAGTGACTCAATAGAAAATGCACCCTCTTTAGAAAATGTATCAATAGAAGATGAACCTGTTGTGGATAATGAATCCTCTATAGAACCAGAACCAGAGTTTAGCCATCCAGCACTAGATACCGAACCTAACATCCCATTAAAAAGACCCCGTGGGTTTAAAAGCCGAGTAGTGCAAGTTGTTGCTGCAATGCTTTTTAAGTCGGGAAAAGAACGAAAGAGTGTTAAAGATAAACCTAGCTGGATGTAAGTTGTATATATCAGATAATATGTTAAATATACTAATTATGTCAGATATCCTATCTGCCTAGCCAGTAACTATAACTTATTGAATAAGTAAATTATTCAGTACTGAGTACATGATAAATAAAGTTTCTATGACAACCCCAGTTCTATTTCATTCACAATACACACTCCAGTCTTGGATTTCTCTTTCTAACACACAATTGTTTCATTTTATGAGCAACAAAACATTGCAATAAATCAAAAGTGAAACCATGCTCCTTATTCAGTAGTTTAAACAAAGCCAGAAAGGACGACGCTGAAGAGGCTGAAGACAAAGAAGATGATTACCATGGTCTCAGACTAAACAAATTCGGGAACTTCAATGAGGTGAGAAAACGGAATGTTAGAACGATCGGGAAAATTGCTCAGTTTCCCGAGATATGCTGCTGCTTCAACTGTAGTTTTAAAACCACTTATCATAAATTAGAGATAATCTGTAGCTATCGTTTCCTATTTGAAGATAGACTGATGCCTGATTGTCCTAAACATAATTTCAAATGCAGCATTAAATCAGTAAAAGTTGTAACTGTTTGACGGACCCCTTTTAAGGTAACGATAATGGAAGAGAAAGATAAGACAATAGAACGGAAACTAAAGTCACAATTGAAGAGAGTAGAAAGTGGTCAACCCGTTATAGTAGAGGAAGATCAGTACGAAGCACCCAAACTAAAACAGGTTAAGAGAATAATTATAATCTTTAATAAAACGGAGCGCTGGAAATTGAAATTGTACGGGGTCAGAGGTTCATGAAATGGTCGCTCATGAAATACAAACAATTATATTCATAACATTATCTATTCACGATTATATTCATAATATTTGTTTATTAACGATTAATATATTCGTTAGGTTACCCCACTTGAGGAGACAGAAGAAACTATAGAATTGAACGAATTAGAAAACAAGTTGGAAAAGCAACTCGAGAGGATTGATAGTGAAAAACATCCTGGAGATAATATTCTGGACGATTCAGAAAAATTCGATCATAAAGGTGAACGGCTGGAAACAGAGGAGTTGTCTAGCAAGCTGGAGGAACAGTTAAAAAAGATTGAACTTGGAGAGGATGGACTCCTTGATATATCTCAATCGGACGAGGAAAAACACAATCACAAAGGCGAACAGCTGGAATCTGAGGAGTTAGAAACCAAGCTGAAAGAGCGATTAAAGAAGATTAATAGCGGCGAATTTCTTGATACATAGATTATTAAAAATATATATCTCGCTGTGTAAGATGGACATCGCAATGCGCGTTTCACCTGATTTTAACTGATTGAGGAACCTCCAAGTGTATGTACGGATAGCCGGATACACTGTACACCCTAAACAACTGTTTACTATAATTTTCTCTCCGTTGATCACGGACTTTTGTTATAAGCGGATTTTAAACCAGAATAAAGATCTGATTGTAATTTTGAGCTTTCTTATAATACACTTTGATATTATCATTTATTTGTCGCATGCTCACTTGAAATGATCTTTCTTTTAAGACTTTTTGGTTTTTTAATATTAGATTCATGTAACTGATAATAAATGTTAACGAAGTATTGCCATTTTTAAAGACTTATTCAATGATTATAATGAGTTAAATTGTCTTTGACATTTTTATCATTATAGCAAAACGGCAACTTGGTCGTTTAGCTCCGGACAGTCTATGCAACGTCTATGCAACGTCCATGCAACAACAAAAGAACCGTCTATGCAACGTCTATGCAACGTCCCTGCACAATGAACACTCTATGCACACTCCCTGCACGGTCAGTCTATGCAACGTCTATGCAACGTCTATGCAACGTCTATGCAACGTCTATGCAACGTCCCTGCACAGTACCATATGAACACCGGCTACTAGCCGGCTACTAGCCGGCTACTAGCCGGCTAGTAGCCACTTTTGTAATAACAGCTCCTCAACTTCACATTACCAACCGGCTACTAACCGGCACTTGAAAAGTGGTCACTAGCCGGCTACTAACCGGCTACTAGCCGGCTAGTGACCACAAAGTGGCTACTAACCGGCTACTAAGCGGTCACTAGCCGGCTATTAGCCGAGCTCTAAAGCAGACCTACTAGTAGCCGGTTCCAAACCGGCTACTAGCCGGCACTTAGAAAGCGGTCACTAGCCGGCTACTAACCGGCTACTAACCGGCTAGTAACCACCAAGTGGCTACTAACCGGCTACTAACCGGTCACTAGCCGGCTCTTAAGCGGACCTACTAGCCGGCACTCGAAAAGCGGTCGCTAGCCGGCTACTAACCGGCTACTAACCGGCTAGTAACCACCAAGTGGCTACTAACCGGCTACTAACCGGTCACTAGCCGGCTATTAGCCGAGCTCTAAAGCAGACCTACTAGTAGCCGGTTCCAAACCGGCTACTAGCCGGCACTTAGAAAGCGGTCACTAGCCGGCTACTAACCGGCTACTAACCGGCTAGTAACCACCAAGTGGCTACTAACCGGCTACTAACCGGTCACTAGCCGGCTCTTAAGCGGACCTACTAGTAGCCGGTTCCAAACTGCTTTAGAGCCGGCTAGTGACCGGTTAGTAGCCGGTTAGTAGCCACTTGGTGGTTACTAGCCGGTTAGTAGCCGGTTAGTAGCCGGCTAGTGACCGCTTTTCAAGTGCCGGCTAGTAGCCGGTTTAGAACCGGCTACTAATAGGTCTGCTTTAGAACTCGGCTAATAGCCGGCTAGTGACCGCTTAGTAGCCGGTTAGTAGCCACTTTGTGGTCACTAGCCGGCTAGTAGCCGGTTAGTAGCCGGCTAGTGACCACTTTTCAAGTGCCGGTTAGTAGCCGGTTGTTAATGTGAAGTTGAGGAGCTGTTATTACAAAAGTGGCTACTAGCCGGCTAGTAGCCGGCTAGTAGCCGGTGTTCATATGGTACTGTGCAGGGACGTTGCATAGACGTTGCATAGACGTTGCATAGACTGACCGTGCAGGGAGTGTGTATAGAGTGTTCATTGTGCAGGGACGTTGCATAGACGTTGCATAGACGGTTCTTTTGTTGTTGCACGGACGTTGCATAGACGTTGCATAGACTGTCCGGAGCTAAACGACCAACTTCCCAGCAAAACAAATTTGATGATTTTTAACACTAAGCAATAGTATAACATGACTTGTCCACCCTACGAATCTGGAAAATACCCCAAGAATTACGGTGACTGTTAAAAATATCGGACAAAGAAATCAACTGCAACAGAAGTATATTCAGATCAATTACATAACTATATCTTCACATTAATTATGTACATGGTAGCATATTCAGATTAATTGCATAATTATTGGTGAACATAGTACAGATCAATTATTCAATGATCAAAATGATAATTTAAGCAAAACGAATCTCTAAATATACATAAAGCAACAGTTGGTAGCACAATGATTGTCAGTAACATTGGGGACAGTTTGCACAGCTAGTGGAAATATAATTATAGGCGGGAACAGCTACATTTGTAATCGAATCTGCGACGAGAACGTAACCAGGATTTGACCAATTTCTGCAAAAAACGTTAATTTTTGGCGGAATGGTTCAATCTTTTGCGCAGAATTGGTTTAATCTTTATAACGTTTCGTTACAGCAAGGAGTAGTGAATTAATCACACTGTTAATTCATTGGTAATTTTATTGGTTTGAATAATATATATCAGGCAAAACACGACGTTATTTTAGGACGTATTGATTAAATGAGCAACATCTACAGCCGCTAAACAATTAATGGACGATGAAAGGCGATTAAAGTGTTTTCAGATCAAATAGACAGCTGACACGACTGTGAACACTCTTCCTTTTTCTAACTGTACGTCATTTAATGTAACAAGAGGTAGTACCATAACAAATATCCTCCTCTAAAAAACACTTCATATTAACTTGGTAGCTTGCGATTGGACATAAAGCAAAGTGTGATCAGAGCTTGCGATTGCGCGGCTCAATTAGCTTTTTCAGCACTGCACGATTGCGCGGCTCAGGTAGCTTTTTCAGCACTGCATTTTGGGGGCAGTAGCGACTGAAACCTGATGATAATAAAGTCGCCTCGAAGCTGTTCTACTGGAAGGATGGTAACCAGGATCACTGACGACAGACCCTTTCTGAGAACAAAAGGGATATAGTTTCATGTTTACTAAGAGGGCTCGCTTGTTTTGTGGATAGAGCTCCGGATTATTCTCATCGTTTAAAATTGTACCCACTATTGTAACTCATTGCAGTTTACCTCTTCTAACATAATTAGACACACAAAATAACACATGGATAGAAATAACCCAGGGGAACTAAGAGCCTGACGGCTGACACCTTATCCTGACACCTTATCATAGTACTCACCATGGTTGGAGTTGCAGGGGAGACCACAACCTTTTTGGCGCTGCCTGCAGTGATTGTTGTCGACTTCGGTGGAGGAGGGCTGAGAGAAGAGATGAACGTTATTTTACTTCTTGTCAGAAACGTGCTAATTTCAAGTTAAAGTCTAAAAAAATCGGTTGCTGTCGGATGAAATAATATCAAATAACTCATAATAAAAATTCTTCAACCGCCTTAGAGTTCAGACTTCTGGTTTGTGATTTGTATGCATTTTCCACCAAATTACGTATTTTAAGCCAGGTAACTCACGTATTTCTCCTCATAGGGGGAGGAGGAGGGGGTGGCGGTGGCGGGGTCGTCTTCTTTTCTCCTTCTTTTCCTTTATCTTCTTCTTTCTGCAATAATAATTTTGAGACTAAGTTACTACAATCGCGATCAAATATCATCGGGACGATTATATCAATATTTCTACACATGTTTGGTGTTGCTCTTGCTTTAAATTGTCGATAAATAACTTTTATCTTTGTATTTGACCCTGGTCATTAGGAAAGTTTGCACGAGATGGACCACATTTTCCCATTTTAACTTTAGAAGATTGTCACAGGAAGAACTTTTAAGATAGGCATATGATATTTCACATATCTATAGTTCAACTAATTTTGTTTCGATTAATAAAAGTTTTGAAGCATTTAGTCGAGGGCAAATTGAGGCTAACGAGTCATTTACATTTTGTCTCCTAACAACAGCTTCCAAGCATGCTATAAAAGTTTAAACATGTTTAATCGATTCATCAGATCTCACTCTTTCAGAATCCAGAGAGAAGAGGGAAATTTGTTCACTAATTGAGGGAAAAATGAGGCTAACAAGTTATTACTAATTTTTGAATTATTTTTGAATAATAGCGTCTATCAAAGTATCCTCTGACCTAAAGTAGATGAGATTGATGCTCTAGATCGAAGGCTTGCCCAACCGACCCATTGTTTTCTTCTAATGGAGGGTAAAGTGAGGCTAACAGATTATTTATAATTTTGAAATTATATTTGAATAATAACGTCTATCAAAGTATCCTCTGACCTAAAATAGATGAGATTGATGCTCTAGGTTGAAGGCTGGCCCAGCCGACCCCTTTTTTCTTTCCAATGGAGGGGGAAATGAGGCTAACAAGGCATTACTAAGTTGTGAATTATGTTTGAACAATAACGTCTATCAAGGTATCCTCTGACCTAAAATACATGATATGGATGCTCTAGGTTGAAAGCTGGCCCAGCCGTCCCCTTTTTTTCTTCTAATTGAGGGGGAAATGAGGCTAACAGATCTTTTCTCATTTTTTAATTATGTTTGAACAATAACGTCCTTTAAACTATCCTTTGCCCTGGTATACATGAGATGGATGCTCTAGGTCGAAGGCTGGCCCAGCCATTTCCTTCTAATGGAGGGTAAAATGAGGCTAACAGATCTTTTCTGATTTTTGAATTAAGTTTGAACAATAACGTCCTTTAAACTATCCTTTGCCCTGGTATACATTATATGGATACTTTAGGTCGATGGTAGACTCCACCTACCCTTTCTGTCTTTTGATGGAGGGTAAAATAAGGCTAACTATCAAGGTTTAGTTCATTTCTTGTTCTACTGCTTCTTCGGACTAGCCCTTCAATTTCAAATTGTTTCTGCCTAACCTTTATTCATTTGAGAGGTAAGATTGAGGCTAACTCCTGCTTATTATAATATTTTATAAGCGATAGTTTTAATGCTGAATGCTTTTATTTTCTTTCTATAATTACACTTTTGACCTATATGACAGCCACTTATTATTTTCAAATTCTTACATTACAAAACTAATTGCACTGCTTTCTAAGAGCCCTGTCACCAGCTGTACTACCATTAAGAGGTATTGAATTGAATATTGGTATAAATCAACAACTTGACTTAGGTTTATTATTTGTTAGTGCATAAATCAGATTGATTTTATATTCAGACAAAAATTTATTATTATAATTTGTTTAAAAATTTTCCTTGCGTTTGAGATGTGTCAAGCGAAATAAAACCTTCCCTTGTAAAACTTTCTCAAACAGTTCCATTTTTATTATACTTTATAGTTTAGAGCCTAATTTGGCATGATATCAGATTTCACCCTCTCAAAAGGTAGTTAGCCTCATTTTCACCTCGAATATTTGAAGCTATAATCCCAAGGAATTTAATGAGCAACATAGATATCAAGTAACTTGTGAGTTGTTAACCTGTTACCGTACATTAAAGTTAAAATGCGGTCAAATTCTTTATTAGCCTCATTTAGGCCTCCTACAAGTAGACTCGGCGATTTCTAAAATGTTGAGCTTGAAGAGGATGAATCAATTTTTATTGTTGACATATTAGATAGTCACGATATCGAACCTACTCGAAAATATACACAACAGTATACTTGTTAGCCTCATTTCACCCTCTCAAAAGGTAGTTAGCCTCATTTTCACCTCGAATATTTGAAGCTATAATCCCAAGGAATTTAATGTGCAACATAGATATCAAGTAACTTGTGAGTTGTTAACCTGTTACCGTACATTAAAGTTAAAATGCGGTCAAATTCTTTATTAGCCTCATTTTGGCCTCCTACAAGTAGACTCGGCGATTTCTGAAATGTTGAGCTTGAAGAGGATGAATACATTTTTATTGTTGAAATATTAGATAGTCACAATACCGAACCTGCTCAAAAATATACACAAAAGTATACTTGTTAGCCTCATTTCACCCTCTCAAAAGGTAGTTAGCCTCATTTTCACCTCGAATATTTGAAGCTTAGATATCGATAAAGTCTCAATAACCTTCGGGCTTCAATAACAAGTTTATTAATGGGTCTATAGCATGTTTCCGTACATTAAAGTTAAAATGCGGTCAAATTCTTTATTAGCCTCATTTTAGCCTCCTACAAGTAGACTCGGCGATTTCTGAAATGTTGAGCTTGAAGAGGATGAATACATTTTTATTGTTGAAATATTAGATAGTCACAATACCGAACCTGCTCAAAAATATACACAAAAGTATACTTGTTAGCCTCATTTCACCCTCTCAAAAGGTGGTTAGCCTCATTTTCACCTCGAATAATTAAAGCTTAGATCTCGATCAAGTATAATCACTATGAATTATACTTGCAACTTGGATATCATGGACGTAACACGAGAATGTTCTTTTTTGAAAATAATGAGTAAATTCGTTAGCCTCAATTGTCCCTCGTAGTTCAATCACTCCTACTGAGTCTTGTGAGTGAGCTAGGAGGTCGCCGGACATCTCATTTTTAAGCCGTATTGATTTTCTATACGCATACAAAAAATTGAATGCGTAACTAAAACAGAAATGAAATTACGGATGTTTTAAATTTTTTTTCAAAAACGAACTTTTAGGGGTGTTTCTAATGACCAGGGTCATTTGTACCACAAGACCATACAAATATTTGACCAGTATTTTAATTTATGTAGAACAAGGGTTTTCGTTATTATACTCCCAGGGAGGGGGTCCCAACTTTTCGAACGGAGATGTGTTCACTCGCAGATAATAAAAATTAATAACGCCATTTCCTGCCCGAACCTCTGCCTAATTGCACTAATTCTTTAATGTCTAAACTGAAAAATATACCGTCCATGATCTGGCTATAATTTTAATCGGGTGAGCTGATGATAAAATAAGTTACAGCTACTTTAGAAAATTAATAACGTAATTTCCTGCCGGAGAGTCTGCCTAACCTTTCTTTAATGTTATTGTGATCTAAAGCCAATGTGTATTGCGTGCGGCAGCCTCACTTTTTTGTCACTGGACAAATTTCATAGCTTTGTTTTACCACATTTCAGAGATTGGCCACTCAGCAGCTGAATCAGCTCACTATAACTACGTGCGTGATTTTGGTTGATCACTGTCACGTAATTTTGGTGGATCACTAACACGTGATTTTGGTTGATCACTATCACGTGTCATTAAAGATATGTCCCACCTCCCGACCGGTATCCATCTCCTCCTTTGAAAAGAACCCCTCTCGTCTTCCCTCCAATGTCACCACCACCACCATAGGCTCCCTTATCAACTTTTGCCTTGACAACTCATACCTTGAATTCAACGGCTCCTTCTACTCCCAAGACGAAGGTGGTACAATGGGATCCCCCCTCATTGTTGAACTAGCTGAAATCCGCCTTGCTGAAATCGAGACCTTAGCTTTATCCTCATGTCCTGACCCTCCGAACACTTACTCCCATTTCGTTGACGACGGCCTTGGATCTTTCAGAGACAGAAACCACGCAGAATCCTTCCTTACATTCCTTAACTCCCTTACTGAAGACCTCAACTTTACCCAAGAACATCCCTCTACAGACGGAACTATACCCTTCCTTGACGTTCTCATCCACCCTGACAAATCCACATCAGTCTACAGAAAACCCACCCACACCAACCTCTACACCAAGTACTCCTCCTGCACCACCAACTCATCTAAGAACGCAGTCATCCGATCACTGACCAGAAGAGCCCACAACATCTGCTCACCCCAACACCTTGACGACGAACTCCAAACAGTACGACACGTTTGCCTCCAGAACGGCTTCCCTCCTCACCGCATCACCACCATCATGGACGAAGTACAACGGAAATTCACCAACCCCTCTCTTCACCAATCCCTAGCCTCATTCAACCGACAGACCCGTGAACATGCCCTTAGTGTTTCTCTTCCTTTCCATCCCTCCCTATCCAAACCCATCTCCAAGATACTCGGACAACACGACATCAAAGTCACCCACTCCTCTGCTACCTCCCTCCGCAACCTCCTCACCAAAACGAAGACCACACCCCCTACTCACCTCACCCCCAACACCATCTACGAAATTTCCTGCTCACAGTGCCCCTCCAAATACGCCGGACAGACCTACAGACCCTTGGTCCACCGCATGAAAGAACACGAACGATGTTACAGACTCAACAACGCCATCGACGAATCCACAGACAGAATCAAATCAGCCCCTGCACATCATGCCCTGACCACCGGCCACACCATCTCCTGGAACAACATCGAAGTCCTCAAATCCCTCACCTCACGCACCCAACTAGACCTCACAGAACACGCAGCTATACAAATACGACAACCAGCTATGAACAGAACAGACCGCGCACCCAAATGTAGTTCCCTCTGGGACCCCATTCTTCCTAAAATTGCCAAATCCTTAAAGTCCAGACCATCTGGCATTTCCTTCTCAACCTCAACAGAAGACTAAATTTTTATTGACATTGTACTGTAATTTTCACTTTCCCACCCACACCTCCCCCACCCTCCATCCCTGACACCACTCAATCACATATAAGCATTGTCCACCACATCACATTCAGCTGACGACGATTAACACATGTTTATTGAAAGCTTCTACAA